TGATTGTCGGGTAATGTATGATGGGTATGCAAATCGATACTCTTTTACTCACAACGGTAGAAAAACTACTCTTATTCCATTGTCTCCAAAAGATGTATTTATTGATCATTGCAAACTTGAAAAGAAAAGGCAAGAGGCTGATGCAAAAGCGGAGATTGAAAAAGAATCAAGTGAAAAAAAGAGCTTGAGGGAAAAGCAAGAGAGTAACACTCAGCCTAGAGAAAAAAAAAGAGAGAAAAGCCAAATCAGTAAGCTTGTATGTTAGATCAAGTGAGGCTAGGAATGTTTTGATCTCTAACCAGACTATTCTTGTACTTATGTGCAAGGGATCTTGTTACTTTACTACCATGCTTAACCCTTCTTTGCCTAGTGATTTTGTTGTGCTTTTGCAAGAGTTTGAAGATTTATTTTCCGAGGAGAAGCCTAGTAGTTTGCCACCACTTAGAGGGATTGAACACAAGATTGACTTCATTCCTGGCGCGCCCATTCCAAACCGACCAGCTTATAGGACTAATACAAAGGAGGCTGAAGAGATACAAAGGCAAGTAAGTGAACTCGTTGCTAAGCGGTATGTACGTGAAAGTTTGAGTCTTTGTTCTGTTCCAGTTATTCTTGTACCTAAGAAAGATGGTTCTTGGCGTATGTGTGTTGATTGTAGGGCTATAAACAAGATAACTATAAAGTATAGGTATCCAATTCCCAGATTAGATGATATGCTTGATGAATTGCATGGATGTAGTTTTTTTACTAAGATTGATTTAAAATCGGGTTATCATCAAATTCGCATGCATATTGGGGATGAGTGGAAAACAGCTTTTAAAACCAAGTATGGTCTTTATGAATGGTTGGTTATGCCTTTTGGATTAACTAATGCACCTATAGTACATTCATGAGACTAATGAACCATGTCTTACGAGAATACTTAGGTAAGTTTGTGGTTGTTTATTTTGATGACATCCTTGTTTACTCTAAATCTTTAGATGATCATATTACCCATGTACGCAATGTTTTGACTACTTTAAGAAACGAATGTTTGTACGTAAATTTAAAGAGATGTAGCTTTTGCATGGAAAAAGTTAACTTTCTTGGGTTTGTAGTTTCATCTAATGGTGTTGAGGTTGACGAGGAGAAAGTGAAGGCTATAAAAGATTGGCCTACACCTAAAAATGTAAGTGAGGTAAGAAGTTTTCATGGTCTTGCAAATTTCTACCGTAGGTTTATTAAGAATTTTAGTACAATTGCTTCACCCTTGAATGAACTTGTTAAGAAAAATGTATCCTTTATATGGGAAAAAGATCAAGAACTTGCTTTTAATACTTTGAAAGAAAAATTGAGTTCTGCTCCCTTGCTTGCATTACCATCTTGTTCCATCCGTGAGCTACTTATGAGGGAAGCTCATGGAGGTGGTTTAATGGCACACCATGGAGTTTCTAAAACTTATGATATGCTCTCTGAACATTTTTTTTGGCCTAAAATGAGACATGATGTTCATAAAGTTTGTGCTCGTTGCATAGCATGTAAACAAGCTAAGTCTAGGCTTCAACCACATGGTTTATACTCCCCATTACCGGTTCCTAATGGTCCTTGGATTGATATATCAATGGATTTTGTTTTAGGTTTACCTAGGACTAGGAAAGGTTATGATAGCATTTTTGTTGTGGTTGATCGATTTAGTAAAATGGCTCATTTTATTCCTTGTCACAAAACTGATGATGCAAAACATATTGCAGACCTGTTCTTTAGGAAAGTTGTACGATTGCATGGCATTCCTAAAAGCATCGTTAGTGATCGTGATGTAAAATTTTTAAGCCACTTTTGGCGTGTTTTATGGGGTAAGTAAGGAACTAAGCTAATATATTCAACTACTTTGTCATCCTCAAACGGATGGACAAAGTGAAGTTGTTAACAGAACCATCACTGCTATGCTTAGGGCTATTATTGATAAGAATCTTAAGAATTGGGAGGATTGTTTGCCCTTTATAGAATTTGCATATAATAGGGTTGTTCATAGCACTACTATATGCACACCTTTTGAAATTGTTTATGGCTTTAATCTTTTAACCCCCCTTGACTTGTTACCCATACCGTCAAAAGAGTTTGTGAATTTTGATGCAAATGTCAAGGTTGAGTTTGTTCATAAACTGCACAAGCAAGTGAAAGAACAAATTGAGAAACAAAATTCCAAGGTTGCCACCCGAATTAATAAAGGACGTAAGTTTGTCATCTTCAAGCCAGGAGATTGGGTTTGGGTGCATTTCCGAAAAGAAAGATTTCCTACTCAAAGAAAATCTAAGCTTTTACCACGAGGAGATGGACCTTTTCAAGTTCTTGAGCGTATCAACGACAATGCTTATAAAATTGATTTACCAGGTAAGTACGGTGTTAGTACAACTTTTAATGTTGTTGATTTGAGTCCTTTTGATGTAGGTGATGGCTTTGATTCGAGGACGAATCTTTTTCAAGAGGGGGAGAATGATGTGAACCACGACCAAGGAATTTCCATACCTGAAGGTCTAATTACAAGGACGAGAGCTAAGAAGCTACAACAAACCTTATACAGTTATATTCAAGCTATGGTGAGCTCATCAAAGGAAATTCTAGAAGACGCTGGAGACCTCCCTTATATGTTGTGCAAAGTTGAACTTCAAGGAAGAGATGAATTAAATGCACTTTAAGTTGCATTTAATGAACTCCACTGAATTTAAGAAACTAGTCCAAGGATGAGTCAATAAGCACATTTTATTAATTGCATTATTTAATTATAGTTTAAATATTTGTTTGTCATATTTAAGCTAGTTTTAAATATAGGAGTTAGGGTTATATTGTAACCCACATAGATTACTATATTCCACCATTAACTAGCCATTTTAATATGGAGGTTATGAGTATTTTTCATTTACTAGCCCATTTAATTTGGGAGTTATATATCCATAGCTTTAAATTGTAAGGGCTATATAAAGTCTTTTCTTTGATTAGACATCAGATTTTTGAATTAAGAATATAATTTCTATTTTAGCTTTGTTGAGAGCTAAACTTTCTTTGCAAATTCTTGTGTTTAGAACTTGCATGTAGAGTCATTCAAGTGGTATTGATCAAACCTCTTGTGGAGTGATTCGAATCACGAGTTTAGAAACGAGTTTTCTTTACTCTTGATCTTGATCATCAAGGTAATCCGTTCCATACTTTCCCTTGGGTTGATTTTCCATATCACATAATATAACTGGAAAGTATCCTGATACACATGGCACACATACTGTTGCCTTGTGTTCAACTTTTTATGGGTGAAGAAATACATTAAACTCATGTAGTCGGTGTAGATTTGGGTATTCTTTCCATACAGGTGGTGTCGCCAAATTTTTAATGCGAACACTACCGCCACCAACTCTAGATCATGTGTGGAATAGTTCTTCTCATATTCCTTTAACTGACGGGACACATATGCAACAATCTTACTGTGTTGCATCAACACTCATCCTAGTCCATTCTTTGAAGTATCACTATAAATCACATACCCTTCTGAACATTTGCTTCACACGCATCATTCCATATAAATGGTACACCCTTCCTTGTTAATTGTATAAGTGGGGAGGTTATTCCGGTGAAGTCTTGCAAAAATATTTGGTAGTACCCCAACGTTTGAAAACTCCGTATAACCGTAGTTGGATGATCCCACTTAGTAACCGCTTCAATCTTGATAGGTTCTACTAAGATTTCATCCTTTGACACCAAATGCCCCAAGAGCGAGACTTGTCATAGCCAACATTCGCATTTGGAGAACTTGGCGTACAACTAATTTTCTATCAAGGTGGTTAATACCTTTCGGAGGTGCACTTGGTGCTCTTGGTTCATTTTCGAATATATTAGGATGTCGTCTATGCACACGATAACAAATGTGTCTAGACACTCCTTGAACACTCGGTTCATTAACAACATGAACACAGCTAGGGCGTTGGTGAGGCCAAACGACATCACTACAAACTCGTAGTGATCTTACCTTTTCCTGAATGTTGTCTTTGATACATCCCCTCTTTAATCTTAATTTGATGGTATGCTAACCGAACGTCTATCTTGAAAAATACTGTCGCTTCCTTGAGTTAGTCAAACAGATCTTCAATACGAGGGAGTGGGTACTTATTCTTCATCATCCTCTTATTCAGTTCTCTGTAATTAATGCACAAGCGCATCGATCCATCTTTCATCCTTACAAATAATACTGGCGCACCCCAAGGAGATACGCTAGGACGGATGAAGCCTTTGTCCAGTAGATCTTTTAATTGCACATTGAGTTCTTTCAACTCTACTGACGCCATGCGGTAGGGAGCTTTGGAAACAGGCCAAGTTCCTAGCACGAGGGGGTATTCCTGGTAGGTCTTCCGAAAAGACATTTGAAAATTCATTTACTACTGATACCGTGTCTAAGGTCTTCTCCTTTCCTCTTACGTCTATGACGCATGCTAATATAGCCCAACCTCCTTTTTGAACTAATCTCTTGGCTTACATCATCGAAACTACCTTCGGGGTAGCCCCGTGCATGTACGCTTAAGCTTAAAATTGGGTTCGAACAACGATGAGAATATTACCTTCTTTTTATGACAGTCTATAGGAGCGTGATCTTCAACTATCCAATCCATTCTTAGTATTACATCGAAGTCTGTCGGTCTACACTTAAGGTTTGTTCAACTATTATTAAATAATGAACTCCACCGAACCCAATCATAATTTTTTTGGTTGACTTGGGTGGGTAATATCTATTTATATGGTTTTAAATGTTAATTTGAGTTGACACTCATTTTCAATATATATTTTTGAGGAATTACATATTTTAAAAAAATATATTTTAATGAGTTGTTAGAGAAAAGTAATTAATAAAAATGTAACGCCCCGTTAGGTTTAATACATATATACATATATATATATATATATATATATATATATATATATATATATATATATATATATATATATATATATATATATATATATATATATATATATATATATANCCGTTTTCAGTGGCTTTTGAGGCTGTTGGATGGGGTTGGGCTAAGTACATTGTGGCTGCTGGTGCTATTAAAGGCATGACCACCGTGTTGTTGGTTAGTGCTGTTGGACAGGCACGCTATCTCACGCACATTGCCAGAACCCACATGATCTCACCATGGTTCGCCAAAGTGCATGAAAGGACTGGCACTCCAGTGAATGCAACAGCCACAATGCTCGCTGCAACAGCAATAATCGCCTTCTTTACAAGCTTGGGAATCCTCTCAAACCTCCTCTCTATCTCCACCCTCTTCATCTTCATGCTAGTAGCCGTCGGTCTGATCGTCCGACGCTACTACGTCAGCGGTGAAACAACACCATCCGACCGAAACAAGCTCGTAATCTGCATTGTTCTAATCCTGGGATCTTCAATAGCAACCGCCGTATACTGGGGCTCGAGCGACGGCTGGATCGGCTTGGTAGTGTCCAATTCCATATGGTTTCTCTCAACTCTAGCCCTATGGCTCGGCGTCCCACAGGCCAAAAAGCCTCGCGTGTGGGGTGTGCCGCTCGTCCCGTGGGTGCCTTCATTGTCAATCGCCATCAACCTTTTCCTTCTTGGGTCGATCGACAAAGCTTCATTTGAAAGGTTTGGAATCTGGACTGGGATTTTGTTGGTTTACTATTTCTTGATTGGATTACATGCTTCTTATGATTCGGTCATGGAGTCCAAGACGGTAGCAGGAGAAGTTAATAGCAGTGTGTAAATGGAGAAGAAGAAGCTCAGATTTGAGAAATGGATCTCATGTTGTTTGAATTTATAATGATTGGCTTAGTGCTTTCATTAGGGGACTTGTTGTTTATGTTTGTTATTGTGTTAGCAAGGATGGTGGTTTGTTTGTATGCACTTTATTGTACTCGTAAAAATTATAGATAACTCGTGAAAACACTAATATATAGTTGAGAATATTAGTTGAACATGAGACTTTAGTAGCGACTCTAAGTAAAAAGAAATTTAGGGTCATTGCAGTTGTCCTATACAACGTCCCTAATTTTCTTAGCCTAATTAGTGATGTCACCCATGCATGTTTTAATCACGTATGCGAAAATAAATACTTTTACAGTAAAGCCATATACCTATGTATACAATTCAAAACAAAAAATTAATCAGAATATAGTTTTAAATATAAAATAATTGCATCAAAAACCCTTATTGAAATTGAATGCGTCTCTATCATGTCCTATTCGAACTTACATGGCCTTTCCAATGTTCATCGTCATCGTGCAGGAGAGTTTTACCTTTACCTACAAAATATAAGGGTAGCATCTGACTTAGTATTTTATGACTTACTTAGTAAGTCACCCTATCATTGGAGTTAACAATGTAATCACACACATAACATGATTGGGTTTTATCTTAAAACTATCACATGGCCTTGGACTCTTTCCAATTCCGAGTAGAGTTGGATGTGTGGTACTTCTCCACACACGAGACCCACCCACGCGCACATGGACTCACTAGGTGGGCTCGTATACGTACCCCTTAGGCCTTGTATGGTCAGGCTTAACGTGTTATACGTCGTCGGACGCCACAGCAAATGAAAGACCAACATGATATCATGACGAACATGAATATCGAAGATATGTGTAACGCCACCGAACCCAATCATAATTTTTTTTGTTGGCTTGGTTGGGTAATATCTATTTATATGGTTTTAAATATTAATTTGGATTGACACTCATTTTCAATATATATTTTTGAGGAATTACATATTTTAAAAAAATATATTTTAACGAGTTGTTAGAGAAAGTAATTAATAAAAATGTAACGCCCCATTAGGTTTAATACATATATATATATATATATTAAAATAAAAGAAGAAAATAAAAAATTTACTACCTCTCCTTTAATCTCTACGCCCCTCCCCTTAAAATAGCTCCTTACGTATCAATAATTCAGCCAAAAAAGAAAATATTTTCTGGAAGAAAAAATGCATATAATAGAGAGATGGTTAGACAATAATGATGGAGAGATGGTTAACCAATGATGGAGAGATCAGGAGTAAGGCAGATAATGNAGAGAGGGTAGATAGATAAACGAAGAGATATGTCATTTGAATTTGACATATCTTTCATTTAAGTTTTAAGTTTTATTATCCTATATAATTTAGAAACAATGAAAATATGGAACTCGATTTTTATTGAGGCCGTTTAGAGCCGTATTTCACATTGTTAGTTGGATTATTAATTAAAATGTTAAATACTAACAAAAGGTGGTGAACGATACGATAGGAAGCAAACTTTGGCAACATTTGGTGTAGTTCTCGAGGAATGGGAGCTTACGTTAAATAAAATAGGGAATACTTCGGCTAAGGCCATCTAGGTAAGTGGCCTTACTATAGGATAGGCTAAAAATTGTATGACTTATGGTGATGTATGAACTACGTCATACGATGCAGTATATGAGTTATGATGATGTGTGGGTTACGATACTTGATGATGTGCGTAGTATATATATATTTTGATGAATGTCGTACTTGATATGTTTGATGCACTTTGTGTTAATATGACAAGTATGATGATTGTGTGACGTTTACCTTAATATGATGATGTTTTCTATATTGAACATGTTATATGATGATGAGTGCCATATTGCATCATGTCGTTAGATCGACATAGGACACAACCCTAAGAGCGTGAAAATGATATTAATATAAGTATCCACGAGTATGTGTTACCTAGAGTAACAAAGAAATGAGACTAGAAGGTTGTGTCCGAAGAGACATTAAGATGGATTTAGAGGGACCTCATACATATTGTATGTTCATATGCATAGGGCTACTTCCCCTAGAGATGATGAGTGCGGACGCGCACCGTATGATGAGCGCGAATGCGCACAGGTGCGAACGCACACAGACGAGGGTGTTCATGAGGCGCATGACACTATGGGGTTCCGCTGACCTCCGGACGTCGCTACAGATTAGCTTGACCAGAGGGTCCAGGGGGTGTGCGAGCGCCCTGGGGATTCACACTCGCACGTGTGAGTCGTGTGTAGGGAAGTACTACACATCCAATTTGTCCGAGACTGGAGGCCACCCCTAAGATGATTAGTCCCTAAATCATGATTGCATGTGTTTGCATTTGCATGGCCCCTAGAGTGGGGCCACTTACTGAGTATTCTTTGAAATACTCAGGCCGTGTGCCACATCACTTTTCAGGTAAAGGCAAGGCACACTTGTACGGAGGACGGCGACATCGCGAGCAGAGCCTGTGGCACGTGCATAGGGTACACTCATATTTAAATTCTTAGTTTTAAGTTAGAATAGGTTTGTTTTGCGTTCCATTGTTTTAAATTATTTTGTATTTGTTTTTATCTTCTCTAAATTTTAGTATTTTGTATTTAAACACGTAAGACCATGACTGTGTTTAGAAGTTGTTTTAAACGTTTTCCGAAGTTTACGTTATAAATGATGTTCATGTAAGAGTTATATTTCCTCATTATAGATGAGCATGAGACGTTAGTGGCGACTCTAGCTATGTGAAAATTTAGGGTCGTTACAAAAAATAATTATAAAGTTACATAAATATTTATATATATAGCTGAGTAAAAATATATTTTTTAAAGTTAACAAAATGTTCAAATCCGTTCCATTTAACTAAATCTAGTTTTAGGAGAATAGTTTTAAAATTCAGCTTTAATTGTTATATAATTTCGATTTGTATGGGACGACATTAAATCTGCAAAACGATTTCAAAACCACGGTGTCTATTGGTTGTCACCGATCGTCTCTGCTTCCTTTATAAACCCTCTTTTCCTTTCTTATTCTCCAGCCTTGTCTTCAGTACTCTCTTTTCCTTCCATTCTCCGATCGCCAGAGCTCTCTCTCCTCTCGTCGACCTACGGTCAGTTTCTGTCTCTCTCCCTACTCTCTCTGAATCCGTGAAGTTACATTTGTAGTTGTTTTTCTTGTTTCTTGCTTGAAAATGTGGAGTTCTGTGAAATGGCGATCACGGTTTTTTCACGGAACAGAATTTGAAGAGTTTCTAGGTCTCCATAACACAGTTTCTTTGGTTTTTGTGGGCGAGGAACTGCTTCATAATTTTGTGTGATTTTGTTCTTTTGTGTTGTGTTATTTACAGGTTTAAATTTCATTTCGATTTGGTTTGAGTTTCACTTCTAGTTTTGGTGATTTTGACTATGTACAAGTTTGAATGAATCTCGAGATCTATTCTCTTCATTTCAAATCATTTATTTTAAGAATCAATAGAAATGTAGAAACTGAAGTATATTGGAACTAAAATTGATTCATGTACTTTTGTTCATAATTTTGATCGTTTTTCAAAACTAACTCACAGAAACTAAATGAGATTTATATTTATTATAGGTTAATTCGTTTTCTCGGAAATCAAGCACAGAGTCAGAGCTCAATTTTGAACATTTCATTTTTTTTAGTGGACTGTTCCAGTGCGGAATCAGAATGGGTCAATCGAACGGTGACGTCGGTGGTGGAGAAGAGATCAGAAGAAGATCCTGTAGTTGTTCAAAGGAAGATTTTCTGCCAGAGGAGTCGTTTAAGAGTTGGGGAAATTACACTAAAGCGCTGAAGGCGACGCCGGCCCGGCTCTTGGATCGGCTCACGGCCAGGTCCGGAGAGCACACCGAGCTCGTCGAGATGAAGGCTCAAAGCCAGCACGAGATGAAGAAGAGCCTCACGTGGTGGGACCTTATGTGGTTCGGTATTGGCGCCGTCATCGGCGCTGGAATATTCGTCCTCACTGGTCTCGAGACTAAGAAACACGTCGGCCCAGCCGTGGTCTTGTCTTATGTAGTCTCCGGTGTATCCGCCATGCTTTCCGTCTTCTGTTACACTGAGTTCGCTGTCGAGATCCCAGCAGCGGGTACGTGCCTTTTTCCAAGTCTCATCTCCTCCATAGTTTCATATCTTCTATCGAAGACGATATTAATTAGTTTAATTTTTATTCAATATTATATATTTTATTATTGATTGTTTTATATTAGTTTCTATTTGGTTTCGGTTTTAAAACATATATCATTGAATTTTCCCTATGATATATTAATGTTCTATTAATTATTTATTCTTTTAAATTAATTAATCAATGTTTACTAATTCTTTTCTCCATCTCTCCGTCGTATCTATTTATATATATATATCTTTTAATTTTATTATATTCATAAAATTATTATTTATTGAACAAACCGTCTATCAACTTCTTATACTTCTACGATAATCCAAATTTAAAAATATTCTAGATTCTTTATTGGTTTTTTCTAATTTACTAATTGCACTAGCCAATTGGAATTATTTGTTCAGGTGGATCATTCGCGTACCTCAGGGTAGAACTAGGAGACTTCGTGGCATTCATCGCGGCAGGCAACATCCTCCTCGAATATGTAATTGGCGGCGCTGCTGTGGCCCGTTCATGGACTTCATACTTTGCCACTTTGTGCAATCACCATCCAAACGATTTTCGCATCCACGTCTCGTCTTTCCCCGACGACTACAACCAGCTCGACCCCATTGCCATCGTTGTGATCATCGCCATTTGTACCTTGGCTGTAGCCAGCACCAAGGGCTCCTCCCGCTTCAACTACATTGCTTCCATTTTCCACGTTGCCATCATCCTCTTCATTGTCATTGCCGGCCTCACCAAGGCCAACCCGAAAAACTTCACTCCCTTTGCCCCCTATGGCCCTCGTGGCATCTTCGTAGCCTCGGCTGTTTTGTTCTTTGCATACGTTGGATTCGACGCCGTTTCGACCATGGCTGAGGAAACTAAGAACCCTGCTAAAGATATACCTATTGGTCTTGTTGGGTCCATGGTGATCACCACGTTAGCCTATTGCATTCTTGCGGTTACGTTGTGCTTGATGCAGCCGTACCAACAAATTGATGAGGACGCGCCGTTTTCAGTGGCTTTTGAGGCTGTTGGATGGGGTTGGGCTAAGTACATTGTGGCTGCTGGTGCTATTAAAGGCATGACCACCGTG